TTTATATTAAGTCAAAAATTCAAAAACTCTAAGGCATGGGTCCAGCATTCCTCATAAAGAAACACACACATCCCTGAAAGGTGTCTTGAACGCACATCGCACGGCCAACCCTTCACAAGTTGTACCAGCTGAACTTCAGAGTGGTTCTGCGAACATCTTACTTAGTAGACCTTTGATCTATCTACTGTCAAATTTCTGACGATCTCGATAGCTTCCTTGAAGAGAAATACATCAAAACCCAACATGATGCTAAAACGACCTTCCCTCAGTTCATCGCCTCCAGAGGTCCAGCATTCCAAACGTACCCAGTTGAACGGCTTCTTATAGAAAAAGATTCGCGCTTTCGATCAGTCTAAGCCGAGATACGTGCATTTAAAATTAGGGGTTGGAAAACGACAGAACTTTCTGAAACACCTAATACTTCCATCGCATTCATTTCCAGCGGGCTATCTAGTACTCCTGAAACCGCCTTTGAAGAAACTTTGAGAGCACTTCAAAGGTTTTCTTGGATGACTCTGGCCCAGGCCTTGTTCAACGTCTTATTTCAGTTGTAGTACATATCAGGAAACAAGCTTAACTCTTTTATTATAAGTCCACTGGGTTCGCGTACGATGAGCTTGCCTTCTAATGAGGTTGAAGGAAAATCCGCCTTTTTTTCAACCAGTTTAAAAGCAAAATCTCCTATAGGTTGTTAAGATAATCGCTATTCCTACATTTTTTCAACTCGATAAAATGAATAGCCAGGGTTTCGTGGCGCAAAACCAATAGTATCTCATTGGAACCTATTTTTAAGATTTCTCCACACTTCTTATTTGTACTCTATGCCACCTGGCTCCGGGCCAGGGTCGGTCCTATCGTTGTTACTTTTCGAAAAATTTTTACGACCCCCCTCCCCCAAGGTGGATTTGGTACGACCCCCTTTTCGACACCTCGACCACCATATTCCTCTCTCTATAGTATTTAATTCTGGTACCACTCAACCCACCAAACTCCGCCCACTTTTTCCTCCAAAAATGCCGTCGGGGGGGTATATACGCCGGCTGAAACGGCAAATTTTTATCCTGCGCGCCCTCCACTCGCCCAGCCTACTACCCACGAAATCTTAGTTTCACCTCAATCCCACACGTGATTTCGAGCGACTAAAGTGGGTACGACCCCCCCTCCTACAAACTCAACCAGGTACGACCCCCCCCCCCGTTGTTACTCGTAACAACGTAGGGTTGACCCTGCCCGGAGCCAGTTA